CACACCACATGGTTTTACAACCCAGAACAAAGAGAGTACAGATGTCGATCAGTTTTTAACGTATTCCTTGAGAAAGGTGAAATAGCAAGTGCCGACCAGGTCATAACTACCTGCATGACTCCAGCCAGTCAATCATTCACTCAAATTAGTATCACCATTCACTCAACACCATACCTTGGGATACAGTACACAGCTGATATGCATGGTAGGAGCACAGTCTACAAAATAGGTCAACTTGTCATCAATATACCTAACCCTCGCAACCTACCACTGCATCAACGTGTAGTTGACATCACTATGGATTTCAGTGGTACAGAGATACAAGCTAAAGCAAAGTATCGTATTACTGGAGAAGAAGTTAAAACTGTTTGTGACTTTCTTTCTGCTTAACAAATTTTTGAAAATTTTTGTTTTTTTTTTTATAAATAAACAGCTAATCAGCATTTTGACTACTGTAAATGCCCACGTGTGCCAAAAGTTGCGTGAGCCAAAAGTTACGTGTGATAATTCATGACATGCATCCAGATCTAATTCCATGAATAACTGGTTCCATTGTAAATATAATTCCTGGAATTGGTACATGTAGTCCCTTATAACAATATTCATGATGGATTATTCTTGGAATTGCTTTAATTCTCAGGAAACACACACTATTTCTATATAAACCCGAAATTGAGAAGTTCTCATCAATTGTTCTCACAGACACATCATGGCATCAGGAGGATTCTTTGCAATTGGCTTTCGAAGCATTCAGATCATTCAAGTTCGACTTCGAAAACCAGATTATAAGCCTCCCTTCAGAAAAGCTAAGAAGATTCCTCGTGAAGATGCTGGCTATCGTGTTACAGATGGCAATATTGCTGCTATTGACTTTGGTACTACATCAGTGTCACTGGCTTATACTACTAAAGGAGACAAAAAAGTTTCCACACTCATACTTGACCATGAAGACAAGTCTACTCGTGTTCCTAATGCTTTCCTTTTGAAGAAAGAAGATGATGGCAAAATGAAGGTAGAAGATTTTGGAAGCATAGCTCGAAAAAAGTTTACATCAATGAAACCAGGTGATCATCACACTCATGTCTACTTTGAGAGGATTAAAATGTTAATGAGAAGAGAAAAGGTAAATATATTATATTTAATGTAATGCTTTGTTATGTACATGTATAGGTAGTTGATAGAGATACAGTAGTTGAGTCATTTTCTGGTGAGAAGTTCTATCTGGTTGAAGTCATTGCATTCATACTTCAGCACCTGAAGAATTTATTGATGGATCATTTCTCTCGTACTACCTGGCCATTGAAGACAACAGATTTTGATTGGGTCATTACTGTACCTGCTATATGGGATGCACGAGGAAAAAGAATGATGAGAGAAGCTGCTTATCTGGTGAGTGATGTTGTAATAGCTATGTCTCATTGACAATTCTAAATAGGCTGGTCTGCTGACAGAATATGGTGGTATCAGCAGGTTCACTCCAGTTTCTCATCTCTCTTTGCCTCTTCCTGATGAATATAATCCTGACAGGCTATCATTAGCCCTAGAGCCTGAATCAGCAGCTCTTTATAGCCAGGAAGTCGTTGCAGACCAGATTGAAAGTGATCCAGACACAGCAATTATCCAACGTCCTACAGATTACATGGTGATAGATGCTGGAGGTGGTACAATAGATATCACAGCTCACATTGAAGTTGATGGCAACATTGTAGTTGAGAATATACCAACTGGCAATGCATGGGGTGGCACACAGGTCAATGAAGCTTTCTCTAAAATTCTTGAAGGTATAGTTAATGATCCTGGATTTGAGAAGTTCTTAGCTTCTGGAGATCGATCTCAAACTAATGCTGATATCATCAAAATTTTTTATACCGAATTTGAAACGGGGAAATTGCTCTTTGGAAAGGAGCAAACAGAAGAAATTTGCATTTCATTTCCAAACCGTTTTGCTAGGTTTTACAATAAAGCTCTTGAGGCTGGTGTCAAAAGGAAAAGTGGTATCGATTATGAAGATGATGTGCTATACATCTCAAAGGAAGTAGTGGAATCCGAGTTGTTTGGTCCAGCACTAAAAGGTATGATAGAGTGCACTTTACAAGCTATTGAGGATAACGATACCGATCTTAGCACCTTCTATTTGGTTGGTGGGTTCGGAGGCTGTAGCTATGTTCATAAGAAGGTCAAAGCTGCTATAGAAGAAAGTTTTCATGGCCAGGGTCGTTCTTGCCATGTGATAGTGCCTCCTACTCCTCAATTAGCTGTTGCTACAGGAGCTGCTATGTGGCGTAAAAATCCAGAGAAGATTAAAGCAAGGCGATCCGATGCTACTTATGGGATAAATGTATCTATACCATTTGAAGATGATGAGCATGACGAGTATTACAAGTTTTATAATGAAGAGCAAGAAGAATATAAATGTAGTAGCGTATTTGATGTGTTTTTAGAAAAAGGAGAGCTAGTGGAAGCAGATCAAGTCATCACCACGAGTTTAACACCAGCTTATCAATCAGATAAACGGATACAAATTAGTATCTATTCTACTCTTAATCTTGGAGTTCAATACATCAAAGATAAAGATGGTGAAAGCACAGTTACCAAAATTGGTCAAATAGTTATTGATATTCCTAATCCTGATAATCTGCCTAGAGAAAAGCGTCTAGTTGATGTCACTATGGATTTCAGTGGTACAGAGATTCAAGCTAAAGCAAAGTATCGTGTTACTGGAGAAGAAGTTAAAACTGTTTGTGACTTTCTTTCTGCTCAACAAACTTAGACTGTTAGTTTAATTTATACTTATTGCTTTTCAGATTAGATCCATGGTTTTTGTTTTTTAGAATGAATTTGTAGTAGATATACTTGCTAATAAATTAATTAAAGTTTATGATAAGACGTTAGCTATAGAAGGTGACAAAGCAGCCACATAGTCTTCCAAAACTTGATGGAAACATCAAGTGTGTAATGAATGCCATTGAAAAAACTAGTATAATGTTGACATGTTTTATCTGATTGGTAGATTTGGTGGCTGTATGGGTATATTCAATAGAAAGTTATTACAAAAGATGTATTCACCATTCACTCAACACCATATCTTGGGATACAGTACACAGCTGATATGCATGATAGGAGCACGCGGTCTACAAAATAGGTCAACTTGTCATCAATATACCCAACCCTCACAATCTACCATGTAGTTGACATCACAATGGATTTCAATGGTACAGAGATTCAAGCTAAAGCAAAGTATCGTATCTCTGGAGAAGAAGTTAAAATTATTTGTGACTTTCGTTCTGCTTAATAAATTTTGTCTTGTTATTGGTTTATATAGATAAAAAGTAAGTGTCTTGGTAAAAAGAAGCACTGATTCATAGCAGATATTTATAGTGGCTACAATAAAAACATTTCAAAGAATTCTACACCTTTAAACCTTAAAAGTAGTACCTTGTGTTATTGCACACTATTCACAGCAGGATTGTATGGCATGTGATATCTATGTCACTTTATGTGACA